GATACACCAGCCAGAACACTGATACACCAGCCAGAACACTGATACACCAGCCAGAACACTGATACACCAGCCAGAACACTGATACACCAGCCAGAACACTGATACACCAGCCAGAACACTGATACACCAGCCAGAACACTGATACACCAGCCAGAACACTGATAAACAGGCCAGAACAGGAGCCCCCCCGAAATGAACCAGCAGACCGAGCTGCCAATCCGCCTGAAGCCGGCATACCCTCGAAGCGTTACGTTGGCGTGCCAGGATCATCGATATCTCGCGAGTGCCGGGATCTTGCATTACCCCGAAAGTTGCCATTGCCGGATCCTCCACATCCAAGATAAATCCCTCCCCAGCGTCGGGCTTCTGGCCATGAGACCCCGTCACAGACCCACGGAAGAGCTGCCCCCGGCCGATCTATCCAGCGCCGTCGTCTTCGTTGTCACAGGTAAGTTCTGCGGGAATTTGACTTAGGGCTCGGGCTCGGGCTCGGGCTCGAATTGTGAGACTTATATGCTGCAAACGCCAGGGGCGCCCGGCGCCGGCAAGACCACCGTCGCCGTCGACCTGGCCAAGGACGAAGAGCTCGGCTACCTGGAGATCGACGCCCTCATCGAGCAAGAGGAGCGCAGGCTGGGGTTCAGTCTTTCGAAACCGGTCCCCGACGGCGAGGGCGAGCACAGGATCGTTCCGAGCGCCGTGCTCTTCAACCTCATCAAGCAGGAGATCGCGGAGCAGATGGCCGCGGACGTGTACGAGTTCGTCATCGACGGCCTCGTCATGATGCCCGAGGCGCATGACTTCTTGGATCGAGTAGGTATACCGCCAACAGGACCTGGGCTGTGCTAACGGGTGGTGTACAGTGCTTCAATTTCCAGCACACCCTGCTGCTGCACGCCGACGCCAAGATCCGCTTCTCCCGGTGGTCGTGTCGGCGCTCGATGCTGAATGGGCCTCGCATCTCCCGTGCACAGTATGACCGTGCCCGCCAGAAGTTCTTTAGGAATTCGCAGCCCTTCCTGGTCGCCGATAGGGCTTACCTCTCCGAAGCGCATCAGGGCCTCACGGAGTCCACACGGATGGTAGGTGTGAAGCAATCGACTTTTGGAAAAGAAGATTGGATGACTGATAATAATGCTGCCATCGTTGTAGTTTGACACGGGTGAAATGCCTCAAATGTATTGGTATCCTAGCCTTCGTCGCTGCGTTCAAGTAAGTTTCTTGCCCTAGACTTAGAGACGTGGTACTGATCCTTTGGTAGCAGGTGCTTATTCATCAAGCAGGGAGATACCTCGATGCCATGATTGAGGCGGAGGATTGAGGCACAGGGGGAGGTTCAGGGTCAGAAGCGAGATGTGTAGTGTGTGATGACTGATGTTGTTCTTCACTGCTTATTAATCTAGTTCTTTGGAACTTCTGGCTGTATTGGACCGCAGTATAGCTGTGCCTGTTTGTATTTGAGATGAGGGGGATGGTGCAAAATAAGGGAAGGGGGAGATTAAGGAAGTGTTGTTGGTGACGGACTTCAACTAAATAACTAGTTAAATCCCCGGTGCTGACAAAGCCCAGACACTGAGTTGCAACCGTGAGGAAACTATGGACAAGATCATTGCAGATCCCAAATCCCAATGCATTCTTTTTAAACGAGGTTGGAAGCACATGGTAATCATGCCGATGATGAAATGAAAGAAAATGAGAATGAAAATCGAACAAAACACCCATAATATACAGAGAAATACAACTCCCAAAAGTCCACTCCAGCTAGCTGATCATGTCCAGTCCGCATCCTTTCTGGTGCAGGTTCTAGGGTGTGGAATTCATCGCTTCATCGTTGAACGGGCCTGCTGGCGCTGCTGCTCCAACAGCCTCATGTGCGCCTCGCGGCGGGCCCGGTTGCGCTCCTCGCGCTTATACTCCTCCTCTTCCTTTCTCCGCCTCTCGTAGTCCTCCGCCGTCTTGCGGTCCTTCTCGCTCAACCGCGGGGGCTCCGCCACCGACCCGTCCTCGTTCAGCTTGGGTCCCGTGCCACGGATCTCGTCGATCTTGCTGCTTGCCTCCTGCTTGATTTTATCCTTGGACTGCTTGAAGTTTTGAATCGCACGGTCGATATAGCTCACCTGCTGCTCCGGAGCACGGGCAGCGGCGGCGGCGACGGCGGCGGCTTCCCGCTGCTTAGCAGTTTCAGCCTCCATCATCTCACGGAGCATGCGAATGGGGTTCTTCTGCTCTTGGCCAGGAGCCAACTCAACCTTTTCCACCTGGGCGATTCCGGCCCATTGGCGGAAAGCAGGCTTGGAAAGCAGGTATGCTTGGGTCATACCAACGAGACCGGTGCTCGTGAAGTACAACTGCAGAGCCGCAGGGAAAAAGGCCATGAACATGAAGGAAATGGCAGGAAGACCGTACAGCACCGCCTTTCCGATCTCGGTGTTCTGCATGGCGTTGCTTCCAGACTCTCCTCCTTTCTGTTGCGTGAGGCCGCGGTTAGCAAGCGTGCCTCGGTTCAGGAGCCGAATGGGAGACAAGAACGAGTCATCGAAAGGTGGCAGCACATACCTTGAGGGAAAAGTACAAGAAGAAGGAGCTGACGGCGGGCAGGATGTAGAGGGGGTCGGCGATTGTAAGATCCTGGAGCCAACCAACATGCTCCGAGGTTAAAGCGGGCACCGGCAAGGAAGTCATGCCTTTGATTACCCGGTAGCACCCAAAGCCGAGGGGAATCTGGATCAAGGGAATCATTGACTTCCAAGGCTGGATGCCGTGCTTTGTGTGCAGCTCCTGCATGTCGGCCCGGGCCTTGTTCATCTCGAGCATGTTGCTCTCACGCGAGGCGGCCATCTGCTTGGCCCGGATCGGGGTCGTGAGGTGTTTGATGTTGTTGAGCTTGGTGGTGGCATTGGCAGCCTCGAGCGTGGGCTTCACCATGGCCAGACGGACCAGCAAACCAGTGCTGATAATACTCGCCCACCATGGGAGTCCCGAGTAGATGTGAACATGCTCGATGATCCATTCTATCGTCGAGGAGAAACCCCAGCCGTAGTCCAACCCCAATTCTTTCAGGTAGCCAATCTTCTCCGGGATCGTCGTGATGTCAATCTCCGCCAAGTCTGGCACGGCCTCAACAACTTCGGGAGTAGGAACGACGGTAGGAGCGTCTGCGGGGGCGGCCGTGGTCGAATTGAAACGAGCAGCGGAGATAGCAGGGATGGCGGACGCAGACCGCAGCGAGGAAGTCTTAGCCATGGGCCGGCTAGACGCTCCATAGCGAAGAGCGTTTCCGGAGGCTTGCGGTCGGAATGAGGACATCTGTAGAGCCGCGTTAGTTAAACTGGGGGAGTTGGGGAAATTAGAGCGAAGGCGTAAATAAACTCACCGATCGACTAGAGCGCGAGAAAGCAAGCAATCGCTGGCGGGCAATGGCAGGCATAGCGCCGCGACCAGCAAGACCAGTTCCTCCCAACATGGTTGTTGAATTGAAATGCCGAGTTGGGGACTGCAGAGGAGACAATCGGGGGGGTGACTGGACTGAGGGACACCTGAATGGGAAAATCGGGGCTCCGGCGACGGAGCGCTTTTTTGTTGCCAAGCCGTGTTTTTCTGCCGGGCGGCCGGAGGAGAAGAGGGCCAAGTGACCCAGCATCGTTGGCGGACACCCGGTCTAGGATCAGAGCAACATTGACTAACTATTGTGTATCATGTAGCTATACTTGGTGTTGGGGGGTGAGTCCACAGATATTGTATTGATCAGTTCATTCTCTTTGTGAAGAATATGCTACAAACTTGTCAAATGTATGAGCTTCGCCGGACGCCGTTAGGTCAAGCCTATCAACTGATGCTTAGATCTATGTACACTAGAACTTCTCAACAAACGCGCGCATCCTGCGCTGCTTGCTTTGACAGATGAAATGCGTTCGGAAGACTGTTCCCTAGCCTACCCTGATGAGTGCTTCACCGGTTTTAAGGATCTATAATGCTGCCTTCCCCAATCATCGTCTACTCCAAGGACGTGGTGTCTTGCAGACCAGCAGCTCTAGTGCTCCGTCGCTGCGGGAGCTCGCGCACTTCAATGCCAGGTCCAGCTGGCCTAGATCGTCGATGCATAGGGAATACCTGCAATGATCGCGGGGTTAGCACATCTGCCGGCCAACTTCGTGGAGAGGAGCAGGTCCACCCCTGCCTCCCACGACAGGGATCCACGCTTTCATACCTTTGTGCCGGACCAGCCTAGCCTGTAGGCAGCCTCATGTGCAAACAACTCGCCAAATCCCAGCATCAAGCCGTTCACGAAAGGAAGCACCAGGTTGATCGCGGCGCCGCGCAGAATGCTCCAGAACGTCGGGGGCTTGTAGAGGATCAGAGGGGAGCTCGAAGTGGAAGAGGAATGCGAGGAGTCATCGTGGTTGGCGGAATAGACTTCGGAGTCCGAGTGGACAGTCAGTCCAGATTCGTAGAGCTCCCCCGAGTTGGAGAGGTCGGCGGCCATGATGCGGGGAGGGAGCAAGGTATATCCAACGGGTGTATCTTAGGAGAGAAAAATGGGAGGGCTGAGGTTTGTCCAAAACAATGATCTGCTCGCAGAAGTCGAATCAGTGGTTTCCGGTGGAGATGAAGGCCGACAAATCAACGGCCGACGTGGACGGGGGTAGCTTGTAAGGTATCTTGTTGAGGTTGTTCAACGAGTGGATGGAATGAATGCTCCAATACACCTGACCTACCTGTTATGTAAGCCGCAGGGCTGCTCGCTCGTCAGTTGCGCAATGCCCAGCACCAACGCGTGTGAAACTGCCAAGGGAGTATATGATGCTTTGAGAATGAAAACTGGTAGTCTGTAGACTACACATAGTATATAAGGTGCAGTAGTACTTCGACAGGCCCGAGTTGACTGCAGAGTACAGTACACTTAGCGATCAGAACTGCTGACTGTTTCTGCCTGAGGCCTTCATGTGGAATCGATGAATAGACGGAAGATCCCCTCTTCCGGATGACCAATCAGGCAACAGTGACGTACCTCAGCTTGTCAGCTCGTCCTCATTGTTGTTTCCAGCTTCAACTATAGTAAAGCTACTACTAGTTGTATCCACCAGATCTCCTTCCTTGTTCACAACGCGCCTCTTGCCAACTACCATTTCTTTTTGCATACTCCTGAATATCTCTGGACGATACTCTGCTTGAAGTGACCGAGTGGATCCATTTTCAACCCAATTTTCTCCGGCGTCAACGACTTGCAGTCCCGGTTATATCATCAACATGGAACACCAAGCAGCTCACGATGAGCTAGTATCCCAGTTCTGTGCTATGTCTGGCACTGATGCCGCAGTAGTATGCTTGCCCCTGAATTCTAGGGGGAACTGAACTCCACACTAACGTCTACTTCTTACAGGCCCAAGAATACCTGGCGGCCAGCGAATGGGACCTCGAAGCCGCAGTGACCGAGTTCTTTGCCGAGCAGGACGAAGCTACGCAGGGCGCAAACACAGGCTCAGGGCAGCGCCTAGGAGCCGAAACAGGACCAGTCGCCGGTCGCACACTCGGGGGGAGTTCATCCCAGTCTCCATCCACTACCCCGCAGCCGTCCTCATCGCGCAGGACCGGACCGAAGAAGAGATTCGCGACGTTGGGCGATTTTGCCTCCGGGGCTGGTGAATCCTCGGAGGAGGAGGACTCCGTGAATCAGGATTTCTTCGCGGGAGGGGAAAAGTCTGGCCTCGCCGTGCAGAACCCCGACGACATCAAGAAGAAGATTATCGAGAAGGCCAAGAGGTGAAACCTGCCACCGTTAGCATGCCAATAGGAGGCTAACACTGTAGTAGAACTCAGCCGCCCTCCTCGGATGAACCAAGCAGACAGTCGCACTTCACGGGCACAGCACGTACCCTCGGTGGCGATGATGCTCCGAGCAGGGTAATCGAAGCGCCGAGCGCGCCCGCTACGCAAGTGCCGCAACGAGTCCAGAGAACGCTTCATTTCTGGGCCGACGGATTCTCCGTCGACGATGGCGAGCTGTACCGCTCCGATGATCCCCGGAACGCAGAGATTTTGGAGGGGATCCGACAGGGTCGTGCTCCCCTCTCGATCATGAATGTACAGTCTGGTCAAGAGGTGGACGTGGAAATCAACCAGCACGAGGAGAAATACGTCAAGCCGAAGCCCAAGTACAAGCCCTTTTCTGGCCAGGGGCAGCGACTGGGAAGCCCTACGCCTGGCGTGCCGACCTCTGCCGCGGCCCCAGCTCCAGCTCCAGCTCCAACAAGTCAGGCCTCAGAGCCACCTAAGCCTACTGTTGATGAATCTCAGCCCACCATCACCCTCCAAATCCGCCTTGGCGATGGCACACGACTCACGTCTCGCTTCAACACTACCCACACGATTGGGGATGTCTACGAATTTGTGTCTGCGTCCAGCCCCGCTAGCCAGTCCCGCCCGTGGATCTTGATGACTACGTTCCCCAGCAAGGATCTTACGGACAAGGGTGCTGTCCTGGGGGAAATGGCCGACTTCAAGAGGGGCGGTGTTGTGGTGCAGAAGTGGCAATGAGCGTGCAATGAGGCTGTGGACTAGAAGTTATGCAATGAGCCAGGCGTAGATATTCTCTGGAGGTCTAAAACTAAGAAATGAGATGGGATGATTCATGAAGATGAGATGATTCATGAAGATGAGATGATTCATGAAAAATGAGAATGAAACAATGATCTCGCGTATCATTGGAGGTCAGATGAAAGCGGAATCTAGAAATTCCCAACCTCAGTAATAAGCAAGAGCAAATTGCGAAGCTGAAGCTGAACCCGAGTATCTTTTCGGCGTTCCTCTCGCCAAGCCCGATTGATAAGCAACCTCCGCGGAATGACGCAGAAAAAAAAACGCGCCCGAAATCGGCTATCGCCATCAATTCCATTCATTCCCCGCCCGCTAAACAGATTGCTTGCTCCTCCATTGATTCTCAATCTATTCAGCAGAAAACAAGAAGATGCCTCTGGACGGAGTCAAGAACGTGGTGCTGGTGAGAGAACTTCAATCCCTGCGCCTTTGCTGGAATATTTGCCCCTCCTCCTCTTATCGATAACGCGCAGTGGAGGGCATACTCCCGCATACTCCAGCACACTCACCTGCGAACCTACACCTTCACTTAAGAAGAAATTCCGCCCTCAACAACCCCAGCGTTTTTGCGAGGATATGCGACTAACATTCATGGTCGGGAACAGGTCCTCTCCGGCAAAGGCGGCGTCGGCAAATCCTCCGTGACGCTGCAGCTGGCCCTGGCGCTCTCCCTGCAGGGCAAATCCGTGGGGATCCTCGATATCGACCTCACGGGGCCCTCGATCCCGCGATTAGTCGGCCTGGAAGATGCAAAGATCACCCAAGCGCCTGGCGGCTGGCTGCCTGTTCCCGTGCATACCGCTGTAGATGCACCAGCACCAGCATCAGCATCGCCATCGCCACCTTCTCCTACCCCTACCACAACAACACCACCCTCTTCAAACCCCCACCAAGAACCTACCACATCCACCCCCCGCGGCCCATTACACTGCATGTCCCTCGGCTTCCTCCTGCGCTCCCGCTCCGACGCCGTAATCTGGCGCGGCCCCAAGAAAACCGCCATGATCCGACAATTCCTCGCGGACGTCCTCTGGGGCGAAACCGATTACCTGCTGGTCGACACCCCGCCCGGCACGAGCGACGAGCACATCGCCCTCGCCGAGCAGCTCCTCACGCTCTGTAGCACCGGCCCTTCCCCTGCCACTGCCACCTCCACCTCCCAGACAGCAGCGATGCCCCGCCTCGCCGGCGCCATCCTCGTAACCACCCCGCAGGCAATCGCCACCTCCGACGTGCGCAAGGAAGTCAACTTCTGCGTCAAGACGAACATCCCCACGCTCGGTGTGATCGAGAATATGTCCGGGTATACGTGTCCGTGCTGTGGGGAGGTGACGAATCTTTTCTCGAAGGGGGGCGGGGAGGTCATGGCAAGGGAGATGGGGGTCAGGTTTTTGGGGAGTGTGCCGGTTGATGTTGGGTTTGGGGCGTTGGTGGAGGGGAGGGGGATTGGGGAGGATGGGGAGGGGGATGGGGAGGAGGAGGATGATGAGGAGGAAGAGGAAAAGGAGAAGGTGGATGATGATCGGCCTTTGGTTGAGCGGTATCGGGAGGGGTGGTCTTATGCTCGGTTTGAGGGGTTTGCGAGGACGTTGATTGCGGAGATTGAGGGGTAGAATTACTGGGTGGTTCGGGGTTTGGGTTTCATAGACTTTTGAGGTGAGAAGTATATAGGTGGATGCATTTATCTGGTTCATGTTCATATATGATGTCCTTGTGTGTGTACGGTGGGAACGATACCATGGTTTCTGAGTCTGAGAAGACTGTCGCGGAGATTTGGGTTAGAATTGAATATTGTCTGCATGTGCATGTGCATGTGCATTTGAACTTGTTTCCCCAAAAGTTGGGACTTGCTAACCGGATTGGAGTCATGAAATAGCATACAGTCGTTCATCATCAATCATAAAACACAAACAAAGAAAGATCATTCAGTCATCATGGCCGTGGGCTGGTCGCTCCAGCATCGCCCGCAGTCTCATTTCAGCTGTCACCGGACTACGTCCATACTCGGCGTCGTTCATGATATACCGGAGCCAGCCGAGGAAACTCCGCATATCGACCATCGAGGACGGTCGGAGTGTCCCCGAAAGGAGGTCTTCGCCAGCTTGCGCGGTTCCTACATTGCTTGTACTGAGCGGCCGACTGGGACGGGATGCCTCGGGAGCATAGCGGCTCTCGGCCTGCGCTTCCAGCAATGTCTCCGACACCAGTGCCGGCGTAATCATCTCGTAGGTCCGGCGTCGGGCGTCGCTCTTCACCTTCTTCCCCAGGAGACCTCGGCCGCTGGCACTCGACTTGGACGCGATCTCCCTGCTGGTCAGAAGCAAGTCAACCCCAGTCTCGCCATGCACGGACCGCAAAGCTGCCGAGGATCGTGGGGTCGTGGGCTGGACCTGCAGCGATGCGCTGTCCGCGGGTAAGGACATTCTCGAGTGAGACCCCGTCGTCGTCGTCGTCGTCGCCTGTCGGAGTTGGCCCCAGTACCGAAAGGGTGGAGCGGAGTGGAAATCACGCCCATCGGCAACGCTGTTATCGTCATCACAGATGACCACGTCGTTGTCGGCCTGTCGCTCGTGGTCGGAGCTTGCTTCATCCACCGTCAACAGGCCGCCGGGCGGAGCGCGGATCTCGCCCAAGGGAGCGATATGGCTCCCGTACTCGTTGGCCAGGCTCAGCTTGCTGCGACCGCAGATCTCGCCGATGGCGTCGAGCGTGTGCCGGATATCGGGCTCGATGGCGCGCAAGATGCCATCGATGCTAAAATCCTCTTCGGAGGGAAGCGCCGGCGCATGGGGGCGGCTGTTTGAGCGCGAAGAGAAGAGGAGGAATGAGCGCCGCGAAGGCATCGTGGCTGCAGTGGAAGTTGCATCAGGGCTTCCTCCGGAATATGCTCGCACCAGCACGGGTTGAGACCCCAAGGTGGTGGTCGTGTTGGTGGAGGAGGGTGGCCGAGAGGTTGCAGACCGGCCCTTGGCTGATAAGGGCCTGGCATAACCATTCAACTGACGGAGTGCAGTGGCACGATGTGCTCGAGAGGATTCAGCAGTCAGAGACAGGTCATCGTTGCGAAAAGGATGATGCGTGGATGGAGAGACCACCGCAGACGAGGAGGTATGGGTATGGGGGTGAATATGCAGAGGGCTGAGCTGCGACCATCGGCGGCGCGGGAAGGAAGAAGAGGAGGATGACGGGGCAAAAGAAGCACCCGTATGGGTGAACAGCCTGTCTGAGTGAGGATCCATTGTTCCGGCCAGCCGATGACAAACAAAAATCCCAGCCAGTGTGGATGCAAGGCTAGACTAGAATGTGGACCGAAGGGGAGGAGGGGATGGGAGGAGGGGGACGACAACGAAAAGCGAGGATGACAACACCACCATCACCATCACCACCACCACCAAAAGCTACACCATCCTCCCCGAGGCGATGATCAACCCCACCTTACGGTCAACGGGCAGCTGAGACGGCGGCAGCGGCAACAGCAACAGCAGTAGCAGTAGAGGGGAGGACAGACCAACGGCACGAGACACGTAGGTTGTTCCAGCGCATCAGTCACTGGGAACACAATCACGCATGAGCTCCGCGTAACCAGGGAAGGGTGTGGTCACTGTGGTGTGGGCTGTCTGAGACCATGATCGCCATCGCCATGAACTCCCGAGCGTCGGATGACACGCTGATCTTAGCGACCCGGCTAGCTGCAAGACAAAGAGAAATGAAGATGGTGTACTCCGGAGTATGTACTGTACAGTAGCAAACGCGGAAGTATAAGGTTGCTTCGTATACTCCATACTTCACGTACTTCCCGTGGGCGGCGGGAGATCCGGTTAGAACCACCAACTGGTCAGCCTGCCACCACCTGTAACTTACCTCTAACTACCACCACTAAGTAAAGTAACTTCCGTACCTCTCCACTTCTTCCCCCCCCTCCCTCTCCACTCTTCCACTCCCTCCCCGACTTCCCCAAAACATTGTTGTTTGTCAACCACCTGTGCGCGTCCTTCGGCCTGGTCTATATCCGACCTTGCCTCCAGAATGAACAATTTCCGTGTATGCATCCATCCATCCATTTCCACCCACCTCCCCTCACCGGGGCTGACAATTCCATCTCCGCGGTAGTTTGGCGACTCCGACGAGTCGGCCTCCGATCTCGATGACGATACATCCGGCCTGCCATTTCCCGAACCTCTGTCCCGTGCCTCCTTTCTCGCACCGGATTTCGACCCCGCCACCTACCTCTCCTCATTGACCAACCGACACCAGAGTCTGGAAGACTTGCGACAAGAACTACGGGACCTCGACCAATCGCTCAGCCGGGAGCTGCTCGACCTGGTCAATGAGAACTATCAGGATTTTCTGTCGCTGGGGATTGCACTTCAGGGTGGAGAGGAGAAGGTCGAACAGGTGCGCGTCGGGCTCCTGGCCTTCCAGCGCGATGTGCGGGCGATCCGCGATAAGGTGGAGGCCCGACAGGAGGAGGTCGAAGGGCTGCTGAAAGAGAAGAAGCGGTTAAAGGGCGAGGTCAACGTGGGGCGCGCATTGCTGGACTACGTGGATCGCATCGAGGAGCTGGAGAGGAAACTCATGATCGGAGACGCCGCTCGCCAACCTCGCGCCGACTCCTCCGCTACCGAGGTCGAGTCGGACTCTGACTTTCTGGACAGCGCCAGCGATGATACTGAGGAAGAGGAGGAGGTGCTGGCAAACGGGGCTTCAGCAACACCGCTCGTCTCGCTGAAAACGCTCGAGCACCATATCCAGAAGTATTTGTACCTGACGAGGCTGGCGGCCCGGATTGGCGAGGAACATCCCTTCATCCAAGGCCAGCGAACTCGGGTCTCGAAGATTCGATCAGCGCTGCTCCTGGATCTGAAAACAGCCCTGGACCAGGCCAGCCATGCGGGTGACAAGCGAGACAAGAGAACGATGGCTATCTTACGCCTCTACAAGATCATGGGTGAGGACGCCACAGCGGTGTCTGCACTGAAGAACATGAAATCCTAGATTCTCTCTCCCGAGAACAAGAGTGAAGCCACTTGTGCATAGCGTCGGCGTTGGGGAAAAGTCTTATGCTTTAGAGATATATGTCAAACAATACCATTATACACCGTGTCCTGCCTAATGAAACATATTCTGTACACTCGGGATATTCAAGAAAATATATTTATGGGCCATGCATGCCGGTGGTGTCGGGGGTTTTGTCGGACTTGAATTCGCCGTTCAAGCTGAAGCCGGGGCCATTTGTGGAGCTCAGCACCTGGAGTCGTGGGTTAGCGACAGGTTCTTGACCGGAGGACGTTAAAGGGGATGGTCGCTGACGTACCACCTCGTAGATCTCCTTGACTATGCGATCGTTCATGGCGGCGGCATCCTTCTTGATCTGCTCCAGAGCGATACGCATGTTGTCGCGCAATTGCTCCGGGGAGAAACCCAACTGGCCGATGGGAAGACGAATGACGGCAGCACGCTCTCTGTAGGTTGTACCACCACGTAGCATCTCGACCCGGGAGGCCACGTCTTCAACCACCGTACCCATCTTTGCGCTGGGCATCAGACCGCGGGGACCCAGGAACCTGCCCAGGCCGGCTCTGCTCAAGGCCTCCATACTGTCCGGGTGGGCGATACAGCGATCGAAGGGAATGTTGCCACCCTTCACCGCATCGAAAACCTCTTGTTCTCCGACCAGAACAGCACCCGCATCGCGGGCTTCCTTCTCCTGTCTCGAACCGGGGGGACAGATGACGGCGATTCGAGATTCCGTCGAGATCGAATGGGGCAATCGGAGCATGTTGCGGATGACGGGACCGTCTCGCTTGGTCTTCAGGCGGATGTGCAGTTCATACTTGGAGACAGTGGGCTGGCGGCCGACTTCGAAGGCGCGGATATATCTGCAGTCCCCAAAGATTGAGTGATCAGCGACTGACTTGTCTCTGGGTCGAATGACAATTCCGAGAAGCAGTTTGCACATACCTCATCGCATCGCACAGCGCAAATTGCTCCATATCCTTCAGGTTATGCTGCGTGAATTCCTTCTTCAAACCCTTTTTGCCCTTGACGTTGAGCTTGTCCTTGTTGCTCTTGTAGCCCTGGCTCTTGACTCTTTTGGAGCTTGCCTTCGAAGCCCATCGCGTCTGCTGAAAAGTGGAAACGACCGAAGCCAAGGGGCCAGGTCGCAGGGCAGATCGACAGGAAGAGACCAACCCCCGTGCCGCAGTGGGGAGCAATGAGTGCAAGGAAGACATGGCGGCAGGCGTGTTTGACCCCGGATTCTGAATGAACAAAACGCCAAATGCCAAATGGGAAAGCCAATGTTTTTTGGCCGCCGACGGGAAATCGAGCAAGTTCCGTTCCGAGTCCGGGCGGCCCTGGAAAGGCGGAGAAACAATACCGCCGGCGGAATCCCGATTGAGTCAAAAAAGTGCCCCTCTCCGCCCCTCCCCGCCTTCTACTTCTTCACTTCTTCCCATCATCCCAATTCTTTTCTCACGAAGAAGCGAAGAAGAGAGATGTCGCAGTTTCAGCTGACTCTGGCCACTCGCGCCAACCCGGCCGCCCTGCTGCCGGTCCTTTTGGTTGCCACTTCCCTCAACCAGGAGCAGGAGGTCATTGCTATCAACTACGA